CTGCAAGCCAGGTTTTTTATCCCACCACCAATTTGCCTCACTTATTTTGTTTCACTTTATCCAACTCCAAATCCAGTTGCAGCTGAAAAAGTACTAGTATTAGCCTTTACAAACTCTGTAGACTGTCGACAGGATTCACACATCATGCAGGAAGATGAGAGTGATAGGGACAGTAATTCCATGTGACAGGCATGTTTTCCTAACAAGGACTGCTGTTTAAAAACAGAAAGCCGGTTAAGCTGTGTTACTATCAGGAGTAATTTTGCCTTTCAAATACAATAGCAACAGCAGGGAAAACAATGGTTAAAAAGCAATTTGAAGAGTCCAGTGAGGCAGAAAATTTACTTGCTGGAGTCACAAAAACCAAATGTAGTTTTAGGCAGTTGAGAAGGAGGCAGCCAAGCATCACTACAAGTAGTACTTATTATCTGGAAGATAAGAAATCAATTTCTACAGAAGACAATTACTTACTCTAGCCTGTATCTTTTAGAAATAAGAATATTTTCATGCAAGTATGCAAGATCTCTGAAACTGCCTCTCAGGACTCAAAAGGATGCTGTAAATTTAAAAAAACTTCCCTGAAATCTGTTGGAGAACAAAATGTTTTGATGAAAAAGTTGTAGTTGTCAGCAGCCCCTAATCTCGATTTGTCACACAGATGCTGATCATCATCAGCTTCATAGTTTTGAATGCTGTCTTGTAAAAGAAGGGAGAGAGACACATCAGCAACCTTGAGTGTCAGAAATCAGATCTCAAAGGTGGAGAAATATGACCAAAGGGAAGACTGTAGTCATAAGAACACCCCAACCAAGAAGTCCTTTCCTTGAACGGGGTACAGGTGGAAATCAAGCTAAAAATGTAACTACCAGGCTTAAAGCTACTGTGGCCTAAATCTATACAGTACAGTGTTGGAAGTACATCACCATGAAATAAGAACCTTTACTTTCCAAAACTTCTTTGATTTCTTCATATCCCATCTGTTCTTTTGCTGCTGGTGGAACAACAACTCAGCCTAGGAGCAGATATCTACTCTAGGGGCCCATCAATTATTTCTTCAGCCTGTTAAAATTAGGGCAGTAGCAGACAGCCTATACTTTTGATATATTTATGTCTGCATTAGACTAGCCTTGAATAAGTATGCTTATTATTTGGTCAACTCTATACCCTAAAATAGTATTTTTCTCTTCAAAATATTCATAATCTTCTGTCCTTTCATGGTGCCACAGACATTATGTGCACAATATGTTATGACCAGACAGTATATAGACGCGCAGGATCCTGCAGTCTGCACCAGTATCCTGTATTAGCGTATCCAGTTTCAGAGAGAGATATCTATTGTCATTGGCCCAGGGAAAAAATAGAAATGTAGAAAGACACCTTTCCACATAGGAAGCCAAGCTTAAACTAGACGTTTTTCTAAATGAAAACGAGGTTTCTTAGCATAACTTTGCATACATCCGCAGTCTATTTGCTGAAAATCCACCCTTTTTTATAAATTCTAAAAATACCATTGTAAAGATCCAGAATTCATATTGGAAAGCAATTTGAAAAAGAGGAGGGCAGGAATTACACTGTATGGCTGATTGGCAGTTTACTACAACACCCAAACACAGCCTCCCCCCTCCCACAACTTCTTTCAAGGTTTTCCATGTTATAAAGTCAAAGTTTATAACCCCTACAATTCTCCCTAGAATTTCAGAGCTGCCTTCTTGCACACATACTCAAACATTCCTCCACAGGTTTAACCACCTCTACTACTTGGCTGTTCAATATCCATAGATCAAAATATTATTTGACGGTACCAGATTACTTTAAGGAGTTGAATATTTTATCGGGTAATTAAGCATTTAGCATTATGATACAGAATTTTATTTTCCTACAGTAACTATTCATAAATACACATAGGGACGTTTTCAAATTGGAGTTCTAAAAAACTACATACAAACACAAAAAAAACAGAATTATATGTAAACAATGAATATGGCTGCTATTTATACATAAACCAGATCACTCTGTACTACACTGTATAGGTTTTATCTGGTCACAGAATTTCTCTATACTTCAGGCACACATCTGTGTCAGCTGGAAAAGTAGTTGGACTCTAACAAGTCTCCAACACGGACCATGTCATCATAGAGATATGTAAGAAATATGCTTTCTCAGTAAAGATCTGAGAAGTGAAAAAAATATTTTTCAGTAGCTTGAACTTTTATCTGTCTTCTTTTTATCCCTTTTCAGTGTTCAGAGGGATGATGTAGGTATGACATTGCTTGCAGGATCAGGGCTTTAATCATTCATACAGCATAATCCACAAAGGGCTGAAAAGAAGAGCACTTGAATCTGTGTTCATTACAATTCACTACTTTATTCCAGTGCTTCCAGGCTGTGTTTTTATGACATTTCTCTCTCAATGAGTAAGCTTTGGAAAGAAAAGGCTAATAACATTAGGCTGTGTTTATAGCCTGTTGATATGAGTGCTTTTTTTTTTTTTTTTGGGCAAGAGGCAGTAGTTGGTGTGTCAGTACCAACTTAATTCTCAGTAACTCTGCTCCCAAAAATTTATAGTTTACTAGACCTCAGTCAGTAACAAAAAAAAAAAAAGATGTTAAGACGACATCAGTTTTTCCATATATTATACAATATTTGAAATGAGTTTTTATATTACTTTCTGAAACACAACGACATGGTCAGGTTTTCCATATATTATACAATATTTGAAATGAGTTTTTATATTACTTTCTGAAACACAATGGAGTTCTTCAAACGTCTTTTGTAGCACTACAAAGATCACTACCGTAAGGATACAACCGCCAGCTCACACTGAAACTAATAAATGTGTGCACCTAGAAGACAATGGCCATTAAAAAAAGTTTGCAACAAGTTTTGAAATGCTGCCACTCCAATGTTAACTTAATTTCTTCCTTATTTATTCAGACCTTTGCTGAATCACCACTGTGAAAATCCATCTGTTAATTCTTAAGCCAAGAGCAAAGGCACTCCCTAAATTGGCATTGAAGGATCACTGCAGAAGAATTCCTTACCTTCCTACCAACATACCTCAACACTTCTCAGTCCAGCAGGAGGGGACCAGTTACGTTCATAGGGACTTTGACAGACCAGCATTTATTTCACTACTGTTCTTATTTATAAGCCATACACCCAGAAAAAGAAAATGGAAGAATTTCAAAGCTTGACTCCAACACAATACTTCAACACAATTTTTTCACATTGTCATGCTTCCACTGACACTTCCTACACACGCCTATCACACATTTTACTCTAATATGCTGCTCACATTCATAAAGATATGCATGTTTGCTTTCAAGCTTTCAGCTTTAGCATCATAAACAGGCAAGTCAAAAAAGGCTACAAAAATATCAGCTCAGCTGAAATCAATTCCTTTAAAATAAGGATACTGTCCAGAAGATGTATGTCAGCCTGTGAAAATGACTTCAAGGCAGTAAGGACTGCATTAGGACAGTAATGGCACATTAGTGCCTACAATCATGATCATCATCATCATCATCTATTACTCATGAAGAAGTCGCTCACAAGCAAAACATTGAAGAAAAAGAGCCATGAAATGAGAACAGAACACTGATGAGCTGAAGACCCTCCAACCATAGAGAAGGAAAATTAATCTTTAATTATACATGCCAGTATAATGGAATAGTTAAATAAGGAGGTTTCAGGCCAAAGTGCCGTTTTTATTCTCTTTATTCTGGTTGATTAATTCTATTTACAGAATCAAAAGCGGATAATTTAGCAAGCTCAGTAACAGCAGTATTTTAATAAGAAAATAACTGAATATTCATGGATTTGTTACTGATTTCTGTCTGCTCCCAGAGTTCTATGAGACTTTTTCAGTAAATTCTTTTCGTAATAACATTAAAGTAATATAATAAACCATAAAACATGGCCAAGTGCAATGGGAGGGTAGTGTCCTCCTCTCCAGACCTGAAGGCACAGCACACCCTTCCTACTGACCAAGCTCTGCCTCTGCCTGGCACCTGGAGAAGAATTAATCCCCTTGCACTCTGTTTACCCATCGCCACCAGCAGATCAGGAAGCCACCGTCACAGCAGCTGACAGCTCTATTGCTGAGGCACAAAAGAAGAAAAAGAGACAAGACACCTGTCTATTGCTGCACTTGCACTGCAGAACTGATCATGAGCAAAGTCAGTAACGCACAGGACCTCAATACGGGCAGGAAATAAGAGAGCACTTTTCCACGAAACTGTTTACGTTAACTCTCCGTGTAATTAAGTATCCACAGAGTGAAACACAGCCAGCGTCCGACAGAATAAACTATTAGGGTGGCACAACTCGCACTCACAGGGCACAGCTGTGACTTCAGACCTGGTGGCAAGACCTGCCGTCCCCAAATTACCCGTACAGTCACCAAGCGCTACAGCTCCGGGCGTTACGGTACAAGAGACCGGTTTCTCTAGGACAACCCTCAGGGTTTTACTCAACATCTACTCAGGGATTCACTGCTATTCAGCGTTGAAAAGCCTCAGTGTTTATTTTAAAGCCTTACGACTCCGAGCAGCGAGCGGCCACGCAGACGAGGAGTCTACGAGCGCTCCCACGTCTCTGCTGCAGCCGTTTGATGCCGGTACCGGGGAGGGGATGAGGAGACAGCCCGCCCCGGGCAGTGCTGCAACCGCTCTGAGCCTCTCTGCCCGCCGCCCGTCCCGGGAACGGCCACCCGCACGCCCGCAGCCGCCGGCGCTGGCCCCGGCTACCGACCGGAGCCGCCACAAGCCCTGCGGCAGCCGCTCCCGGGCCCCCGACCCCCGCACGGCAGGAGCCGGCGGAGCTCCGGCCCCCGACCCCGGTCGTGCCCTCCCTGCGGCGGCCGCCCGGAGGAGCTGCGGAGGGGGCTGCAGGGGCGGGGGGACGCGGCTCTGTAGAGGAGCCCGTCGGGACCGGGCGGCGGCGACGCGACAGCCCGGCCGGGGCTGCCTGGGGGCTGCGGACGCCCCGGAGACACCTACCGGGAAGACTCCCCGCTGAAGCTGCCCCCGTCCAGCAGCCGCACCTTGCAGAAGAGGATGCCGTTGACGAAGGGCACGGAGGAGAGCTCGTCCAGCTCCAGCTCCACGCGGAACTTGAACTTCTTCATCATGATGAAGGCCATGGGCCGGGGGCTCCCCGGGGGCCGCCCCCAGGCCCGCTCAGCGCCCCGCGGCAGCTCCGCTCCGCGCCCACCGCCCCGCTCCGCTCCCATGCCGGGACGGGACGGGACGGAGGGCTGGGGCCGCTCCCAGCTCAGCCCCCAGCGGCCGCGGCGCCTCCCGGCCAGCGCTTACATGGCAGCCGGCGCCTCCCTTTCAAACCCGCCCGCCTCCGCTCCGCCCGCTGCCGGCAACGGCTGAGCGGCGGGGCGCGGCCGGGGGGGCAGCCGTTCGCCCTCACCGCCGGGCCCCGGCCGCCGCCGCACAAAAGGCTGGAACGCCGGCGTGTGGCTTCGCGAAGGGGTTGGCCGGTGCCGTTCGCCCAGTTGTCTGCTAACGGGAACTCGACGTGCCGCCGTCCCGAGCGGCGGTGGGCGGCCGGAGGAGGCGGGAGGCGGCCGCCGCCCCGGCAGAAGGGAGCTGGTGCCGTCCCCCCCGGCAGCTCCCCCCGCTCCAGGGACCCTGCCCGGCCATCGGAAACGTACCGTTGTGCTAACGTTACCTCTGCTAAACGTTATTATTTTAAAGAGCCTTAACAAAGCCAAACATTGTTTACACGTCGAAATTTCAACTCCAAATTAGCTGCCTTCTGCTGTACCTCAAGCCTTATCAGGGTCTGTTACAGCAGCTCGGCCTGGAGTTTACAACCCGCTCCCCTTCTGATAGAAGCAACAGATGTTCCGCGGTGCAGAGGAAGCATGTACACATCTGTGTTTACGTTTAAAACAGTCCTGTGGCACCGATGAGCACAGCAGTACCACGCACCATTCCCTTTTGTATATCCTACAGTTCAACACCAGCATGTGCTCTGCAGGGAACAGCTTTGTCTCAAAAAAACGTTCCAGAGGACTAAAACAAAGCAAGTTCCGAGCACCCTCCATCAGCAGATCAGTTTCCTCTTCACAGTGTTGCGTAAGAAAACCCTAATGAACAGCTTGTCTTCCCACAACAGAGCGTTTATTCATATGGTAAGAAAAAGAATTTGCAAGATTATGCATGCAGCGCGATTCTGAGCCCCTGAAATCTTGTTCCAGCTTGTGAAAGTAACAGCTGTCCCTTGTTCAGGAAAAGTACATTAAAAAATATTTTTCATGGAATACGTACCTGGTGAATACAGACATCACAAGTGACATGCATGGCTAAGTATACAAGTCAACCACTATCTTGTAGGATGATCCTAGAAAAGAAAAAGTAGTAAAGAGTAAAAAGCATAAGAATGGAGTGCCAGGAAGAGAAATGCTCTTGCTTTTTTTCCTGTCCTACAACATCCAAGTCATAGAAAGTATTTATACACAGAGTTTTCCAGTAAAAAGAACTACAAGGGAGTTCTGACACTATTATCAGTTTCATGTTCTGAAGAAAAACTTTCTTCCAAAAATTCCAAATGTCAAGTAACATCTGGCTCTGAAAGAAGCTGTTTAGCTAGAGTAAAATTAATATGACAACATCTTTGGGAGAAGGTCTAGGCATTTAGCCTTGACCTAGGAATTCCCCCATTAAGAACACTTCTTCAGTCTGCTCTAAAATAATTCTGAATCTCTTCCCTCTACTATACCACAACAGTCTATAACACATCACACAAAGCAATTCTTTGGGTACTGTGTTCATCAGCTCTTTGTTAAAAGAAACTGAAGGCAAAATATATTCAGCATCTAAAGGGAGTAAATTTGTATTTTGTTGGTGTCAAGTTATACCAAGATATTACTTTCAAATCTAAAGAATCAACTCCAGAGATTTATTCAAAGCAGATGTTTTAGACTGATAGAAAAAAATCATCAAACTTAGCCAAAAAGTCTTATGCATCTTTGCACAAAAGTAGGGTTGAAGAGCCAAGAAAAAAAATTCCTGATTATATACCTGATGAAGTATCTGTTGAAAATATGGTAAATACAACTACTTTAGCTATTACACAGTATTATAAAGAAAATCAGCACTAACTTATTCTTGGTCAGAGAAGTATATCAACAACCTTCATGAGCTATTAAGGTCTATAAACTACTGTATACCCTTTGAGTAGCCTCTAACACAAGCAAATCCCCTGGAAAACAGAACTTTTCAGGCCCTTGGAGACATTTATATGCTGAGTGCACTAACACCCTGACCAGCCTCACCTGGGGCCTCACCCACACCCTGCCCAGAGGACCTATTTAAGCTCAGCTCTGAGGCAATTAGTCCTCTTTTGAGCCTTGCTGTAGCACTGCTTGTCTGTTGGGTGGTTATCATGCTGTAGTGCTGTCTGTACCTTGTTGTAGGCACAGACCTGTGGGCTGATATCCTAGTTAGACCTCAGACCTGTCTTTTTGTTTTAGATGTGTCTGAATGCAGTTGCTGGACTGAAGCCTGGGATGAGTCCTCAGCATGGTCTCAAATCTGTCTTGCTGCTGTGGGTGCCTGCTCTCCTTGCTCAGGTACAATAGGATGGGAGAGACCCTGGCTGGTGAGACCTCTGCTGTGTTTTTGTGCTCACCTGCTGGCTCTTGCTCTGCCCTGCTGTCTTGAGATGGTCACTCTTAAAACAAAGAAAGGGGTGGTTGCCTGATGACTTTAGGAGGTTTGATTCAAATTTAGTTCTTATCTAAAAAAACTCCAGCTCTGTTCAGAGGCTATATTTACATCCTGAAACTGGTGACTTGGAAAAGTCTTTTATATTGAGTATAACCTTCTTGATCAGAAAGAGTCAAAGTCAAATGTGTCAGAAGTATAGTTTTCTAAATATATTTAGAATCTTTAATCAAAAGATTCTCAAAATAGGTGAGGAGCTTTTCAGAAAAAGATAAACACGGTAACGGAACAACCCTGTGCTGTCATTGATGTAAAGCTTTTGCAAGTTTAAAGCACTGGAGTTTTATTTTAAGAGCAATTCATAAATCTTTAAAGAACTTGGATGGTACTCAAACAGGTACAAAAACCTCAAAGATTCAAGAAAAGTCAGTATTTTTTAAAATACCACAGTTACACCAGGATAAAACAATTCAAAATCTGTTTGTTCTCCTGAAGAAGATAAGGTTTCAGTCACAAAGTTCAGGAGTTAACAGGGAACTTTCTTTATGGACAGGTGAAGCCCAGGTCTCTGGGGTTTTTCAATCCTCCAGAGCACCAGGGTATATACCATTGCTGGAGATGGTACTAATGTGACCTCTGTTCTTTGTGTTCTGCAGCACTGTTTCCTTGATGGGCACTTCTATTTGTGACCTGTAGCTGTTTTTTTTTCCTGAGAGTAGCGGTGTCAGAAACACTTTGAAACATTCCATGGGTTTGGCTTTAGACGGATCACTGCTTTTGATCCGACATAAGGTCTGGATTACAACCTGTATCCAGATGAGCGCTTCCAGCAGCAATCAACTGTAAGCACTCTATCTTGGTCACAAAAGAGGTTGATTTGGGTGTCTGAAACTAAGTTAAACTAAAAAGTGAGCTTAGTGGGAGCTAAATGTGGCATGGGCAAGTATATACTATAATCAGGCCCCTTCTCGTGCTGCTTTAAGAAATATGTGGTGAGGTCTCAGTCCTCCAAATATATTTGTACGTGTCTCATAGAAGCCCACAGGCAGTCTCTCTGATGATGGTCACTGCCTTCATGTGGCACAGCTATTTAAAGCTGTGCTGTAAATAAAGCTCAGGTAACAGCCCCAATCCATCAAGGGGTTCTGTGCCCTCTGAAGCAGCGATGTGTCACAGGGAAAATCAGAAGGCAGCTGAAGCATACACTGCTTAACCTCCATTGACAACATTCAATCACAATTGCTTGGTTTGTAAACAATATTTACCTGTATTACAGCACTAACCTCTCTGAATTAAGACATAGTATCTTTCTCATGCTAAACCAGTTCAATGCCATGTGCTAGAAAACACAAGTACCACGAAAGAAAAAAAATCTGTGAAAAATAATGAAAGAATCTGAATTTACCACAACTTGTTATTATATGACAGTAAGATTTCAAAATAGGCTTGGTTTGAATAATTATTTTATAATGGTATCTTAAAACTGAGCTAGTGACATCTAGATAATGGAATAAATATTCATTTTACCCTAAAACAAGAAAAAACACTAAACATTGTCTGTTGCCTTATAAATATTTATTGCTTTTGTATTGTTTAATTATATCCTCCTGTGTGTGAAGATTGCTCCTTCAGGTGACATAGAATTTCTGGGTGTACTTAGCAGACATTTTTAAACTGTGTAGCAGAACTGGATTTGATCTCATAATTTAAAAATTACTCAACTTCACTGCAGTCCCTGGAGTTAAGCCAGAAATGACTTTTGGCTCATGCAGCACACTATTTTAATAATTTTAAGATTATTATGAAGTGTTTCCTTGCTCACAGAAAAAGAGCCACAGTATCTAGAGCAGACACTGAATCATGCAATTCAGCTGAGCTGTCTTTTAGTCTATTAATAAAATATATCAAGTCTGCTTCTAGCCTCTGAGGTTTTGTGATATTTATAGCACTTCCTCCAAGTGGGTAGTATTGATGTGATTTAAACATTTATTGTACATGTATTGATATATACACTAATGAAAAGCTCTTCTTTTATTAAGTTAAATGCATATATTTTTCTGATATGCTTTTTATGTTCTGATACTAATCAGTGTTGGTATCAGAAAGCCTTATAATACTCAATACAAATGATATAAATGTTATAGAATTTTAAAAAATATTATTGCAGATGTGTATCTTGTGCAAAGATATTTCTTGACTCAGATGTCCTTTGTGGCTATGCAGTTCCTTTGAGCAAAGTAAAAATTGGAGTGCAAGATGATGGACTATTCAAAACTCCTTTTTAACAAACAAGGATTGTATAAATGATACAGCCCCAAAACCTGTCATATAAGACCATTTGCAGAAGAAATGATCGTTTTGGTAGTGCTAGCTTCCAAATAATGGGAAAGACTTATTTTCTTGACAGAGATGTAAAAGAGGCAGAGCTCTGGAATTGCATTTGTGGTCACTGCCTCCAGTGTCACTGCAGCAGGTTAATTAGGCTTAACTAGTATCTGTATCTTTCAACAAGGGCACTGGTTTCCTCAGATGTGTATCTAATAGTTAATCTATCAATGTACGCAAAATATCCACCACTCTTACCTACTTTTCATATTGGTATCAGCCAGTCATGCTAAAGTCAAAGCATTTAAACCTTCTGCACGGCTCTCTGCTACTTACTCCATTTTCAGGGAGACCACCACAAATTTGGAATCACTTGATGAAAAATGAGTTTTACTGTTGTGTCACATTACGGATAAAAAGTTGGACCAATGAAATGCAACCCATACTTCCAAACTTTTGCCATGCATACAAGTCCAAGTAGAATCTATTTGCAAATACGAATTGTCT